ACGAATTCGCACTGCCTAGAGTCGCCATAAAAGCTATGCAGATACAAGGAGACAATACTTAGAATTTCAAACAGGAGATCATGTGTTCCTAAAGATCTCACTAACAAGAGGACTTATCCAATTTGGAAAGCGATGGAAGTTAAACCCATGTTACATCGGGCCATTCGAGATACTGGAAATGATTGATCCTGTGGCATATCGCTTTGCACTGCTACCTGAACTGTCCAAGGTCCACAATGTGTTTCATGTTTCGATGCTTCGACGGTATCTCCGAGATCTACAACATGTTGTCAATTATGAGATCCTGGAAGTGCAAGAAGATCTCTCTTATGAAGAACAACTAGTGCAGATTCTCAATCGTCGTGTTCAGGTTCTCCAAAACTAGACTATACCCCTAGTGAAGGTCTTATGGAGGAATCATCGAGTTAAAGAAGCGACATGGGAAACTGCAAGTCAAATGCGAGCCAAATACCCATACATCTTCGAAAACCAAGGTACGTCAAGTTTGTGGACAAATCTCTATTTACAAGGGGAGAAATGTGGCACCTCAAATATTTAATTAACACCACGTTACTAAATAAAAAATAAATAATAATAATAAATATATGAAATAATTTATCTAATTACATTGCTATACATGCTGAATATGTAATTTAATTTAGCATTGATTTATCAAAAATAAGATGAATATATTTACTTGGTGGACAAGTTAACACAACAATTAAATTGAAGGAAAGTTAGGGGCTATGAGGAATTCAAAGAAACGTGTGCAATTGCTGGATGAGTGAAACCAAAGCATCTGTGCTGTCTAGGACTAGGCAGAGGTGATTCATTAGTTTAGTGACATAAATATAGGATGAGGCACCCAGGCCATATGTACATAAAAGGGAGTCACGGGTAGCCAACGAAGAAAAAAAAAAAAAAAGGAAAAAGGAGCCCCGGAAAGCAGGAAAAAAATAATAGTAACAACTGGATAATGGTCAATATTAAGGTGAGTTATATTATATATTGAGTCACTATAGTATATTTTACGTATGTTTTGAATTACCATAACTTATTTTACCTAATTTGTGTTTTATAAATTATATTAATATTTCGATTACGTTGATTATTTCAGAACTCTATTTGCTTAAATTGAAACACATGGATATGTTTATTTAAATTTTAATAATTATTTGACTATGAGTTTGTAAATAATTATTTTTTATAAATACCACCACGGGAATCCCACGTCTTGGGAGACTTAAATAAACCATTGGCTTCTGATTGGTTACCTTGTGGCCCTCTAGTTGTCATGGATCCATTGACTTCTATTTTGACTGTCACTTCAGTGACCTCTGCTCTATTCCGTTCTGTATCATGGTTATGATTATTTATTTACATTGTTTCTGTATTTCAGTTTCTATCACTTAAATAATTGTTTATTCAAATTAAGTTAAGTTAATATTTTAACTTAAATAACTATCCATAATTATTTTGTATCCCCTATACTCTTGGTATAATATTTCTCACTTTACTGTGTGCTTATAGCTGTTACTCCTTTTAGGTGATGAGATATAAAGAACTATAACCTCGTATAGTGGGACCCGCACGAAATTTGATGCCGACCTGTTACATTTTGTTTTTGGAAAATTTACCCATAAATCCTATTTTCTGAAAAGTTGAACCATTTAGTCCTAAAAATTTTTTATGTACCATTTAGTCCCATTTAATTTTGGTAAACAATATCAAACATCATCATCAAAACAACATCAAACATCACAACATCATCATCAAACAACATCCGGGATTACCAAAGAAGAACCCTAACTTCCACAGCGTTCGATCTCCCACTTCTCACATCATCGGCAAGATTCCCCCTGCTTCAGACTCCTCCCTCATCTTCCTCATTCCAAAAACCAAAAACTATTCCAGACTCTCACATGAAAAAAAAATAAAATAATAACAATAATAATAAATAAATAAATAAGGCTTTGGAAATTTGTGTTTGTTCATCTTCAATTGGTGCAATCGATTCAGTGGCGGAAAATCATCGGACCGCAAAATCAGAGAAGTTGCTTCTGACGCAACACGCCGAGAAGCACTTCACGGTGGGCGAGATCGTCCGCGACATCATCATCGGCATCTCTGACAGCCTCACCGTCCTCTTCGCTCTCGCCGCCGGTCTCTCCGGTGCAAACGCTTCCTCCTCCATCATCATCACCGCCGGCATCGCCGAGGTTGCCGCCGGCGCAATCTCCATGGGATTTGGCGATGGTTTCAACGTCATCGACGCCACATTCAGTCGGTCTGATGTTCTTCTTCGATTTGAGGGATTTGAGGGAAGAACATCACTGTGTTGATGATTTCGATCGAATGTCACACATCCGATATTCAAGAACATTCAAGAATATCACTGTGTTGAAGAACATCCCAGATCCGACATTCAAGAACATCAATGTGTTGAAGAACATCACAGATCTGATATTCGATCCGATTTGAGGGAAGAACATCACTGTGTTGATGATGTTTTGTTAATGTTGATATGTTTTGATGTTGTTTTGATGATGTTTGATGTTCGAAAATTACCCAAGTTTTTCTTTTCTTTTTCAGATTGCTTTTTTGCTTTGAAGGTCTGGAATGCCCACACATTGACCATTAATGGCAACCCATTATCCTTTAGAAATGGTTGTTTGTTTAGTGATGTATAATGTATATGTTGATGTTTGATATATATTTTTTTAGTTTGATGTTGTGATGTTGTGTTGTTGATGATGTGATGATGTTTGATGATGATGATGATGATGTTTGTTGATGATGTTGTGATGTTTGATGTTGTTTTAATGATGATGTTTGTGATGTTTGATGTTGTTTTGATGATGATGTTTGATGTTGTTTGATGATGATGTTTTGATGATGATGTTTGATGTTGTTTGATGATGATGTTTTGATGTTTGATGTTGTTTTGAAGATGATGTTTGATGTTGTTTTGATAATGATGTTGTGATGTTTGATGTTGTTTTGATGATGATGATGATGATGTTGTTGTTTTGACGATGATGATGTTTGATGTATATGCCCTCTATGGTCAATTTCCTTATAATGTGACCTTTCCGTCTACAAGAAAACTTTTAAGACTAAATAGAGTATAAGTTATTAATTTGGGATTTATTAGTGCATCACCTTTTGCTTTCCTTCTCTTTTTCTTTTTTCTAAAATTCTATGACCACATAATAAAATAATAACAGCCCTATTGACGTATTTTCTTAACAATAGAATGATTAATGAAGTTAATTTTTTGTTTAATTATTTCTTACTTTCATTTTGCCTCCGCATGCACCATTTAATTTTTTAAGATTAGAATTAATTAGTAAGTCACGATTCCAGCCCTATACTCTTGGGATTAGGTTGTGACGCATGAGACGTCAAAAGAGACTATCCCTCTGAAATGACAAATTTGACCTTATTAAATGTAATGAGTGACAGTTGTCGGACAGATATAATTGGCAAATTAAAAGTTGTCACGATATGTGTTTGGCTCGGACTTCGTAGTATTAGCCTCGGCAACCACCTGTCACGGTTACAAAATAATAATAATAATAATAATAATAATAATAATAATAATAATAATAATAATAATAATTTAAAAAATAATTTGTAATAAACCAAAAAACTCATACATCAAATTTTATAAAACTAATGTGTGATTAACATTTTAAAAATTGTGAATCATTTTACGAGTCTTTCAGAAGGAGAAATTATAATTTAGTGTATATTTTCAAAATAAATTTTAAATCAATGGTAAATTTTATCAATTTTAATAATTAGTTATAAAATTTTTTTTTATTAATTTATAAATATTTTGTGAAAATATCATTGATTTGTAATTTTTGCAAAATAAATTGAAATAAATTACAAATATACACCCTCAAGTTTATTTAAAATATAAGTTATCCCAGTAATTTTGAAAATTACAAATATTTCCTTATCAGAATTCTTTGTTTAACATAATGAATAAAAAAATTAAATTTCTAACTATTCTTCTATCCAACAATAAAATTACATAAATTGTTAATAGAAATATATTTCCGATATTATTAAAATTTGTTAATTGACATAATTAATGAAATGAATCATTTGTTATATGATTAGAAATTTAAAGGGTAAAATGTAATTTCCAAAATTACAAAGAACATTTCGTATTTTAAATAAATATCAAGGAGTGTGTTTGTAATTTATCCAATAAATTGATACACTTTTGCCAACTCATTCTATATGAATTTTTTGTACAATTTTTTTATTTGTACATCATTTTTTCCCCCCTATAACTCACCTCCCTTGAGTGTAACAAAAAAAATATATATATATATATATAATATATTTCACAATTTTAATATAATTATATTAACCTACTTTTATGAGACCAGTGTTGGGTTGGCAAGCCACCAACCTTGTGCGCTAAACGGATTGCACATGTCCAATCTGGTGGATTGGAGACAAAACTTAGCTAAAATAAAAATAAATAAATAATGTTATATAAACAAATAAATAAATTCATACATAATAATGTGAGTCATTAAGCACCATTCATTTCAAAACAAAACAATATTTTTTTGAATGAATAAAAAAAATCATTAAATATACATTTATTTACAATAAAGACATTACCACATTACTCTTGTAAATTTTTTTTTTATAAATTGAGAAATGCCCCATCCCCCATTTCATCACCCCCAATTGCACCTCTAATGAGATAGCAAATAATACCAATCAATTAACTCTCTTCAAATTCTTCTCTCCTTTTAAAACTGTTTGCCACCTTATTAGAGGTGTAATTGGAAGTGATGAAACGAAGAGATGTAGCAAAACTCATAAATTTTATGCATGGATAGAATTTTTCATTTTAAATAGTTAGTACTGATTATGGGGAAACATTACCATCAAATTCTAGGGGGAAAAAAATAACATCTTAAGGAGGGTGACAGATAACCAATGGAATAAATGCTCATCTCCAGGTAAACTTGCAAATGAATAGACCAATCCCCTTTTATAGATGATCAGTAATTGGTAACTTTGGTACAAGCAATACCACAATACAAGTTTTGCCTTCCAATCTAGAAATGCACATATAATCTCGTAAGTCCCCATCACAAGCTATTAAAATCAAATCACCGTCCTCATCTTTATATTTGACATAATAAGTTCCAGCCTCTAGGTTTAGCCTCTGCGCCACTTCTTGCTGCAACTCTATGAGACTCGATGACAAAGACAGACGAAACTTAATTGCATTAGCTTTTGCATATTTTGCTTCTATAGTCACAACATTGGCATCTTGCAACGTTGTATCATGTGGCTCGGTGTGAACGATACTAGCTAAGGGTTGAGCAAAAAGAAGATCATCAAGATTCAATTGTGAGCTTTGTTCTAGATCAACACACAGGGCCGATTCATTGGGCTGAGAGAAACCAGACTTTTTTGTAATGCGAGGTGGCCACCTATCAATACCATACACTCTACATGCACGCTTCAACGTAGATTTGCCAACTGCAAAAGGAAGGATCCAAATAAGAGATATTACCTTCTATTTGTTTATAGAAGAGTCCATCTAGTTGAAATAAGTACCAAGATCACAAGCAACATTATATTTTATTTTATGAAAGTGCAAGCATACCTTGGAGGTTTTCTGCAGCATCCTCGAGTTTCATTTTTGAAGATTGTCGGATATCTTCTAAGGCAATTTTAATTTTAACTCCAGATTTGTTGCCTTTTATTTCTGAAGCCTTTATTGTACCTCCAGATTTGTTGCCTTTTCTTTTTGACGCCTTTACTGTGCTTTTCTCTTGCATACAAGTAATAGCAATGTTGTCACGTTCTGTACCACCAACATTACTTCCAGTATTTATGGCATTCATTGATTGTTGATCTGATGAATCCACTTGCATCACCTCAACTTCACTTTGTAAGGGTTCTGACCAAGGCAAAGATATAGTAGTTTGAGGCCTTTGAACATGATCAAGTTTCTCACCACCGATTTCTTCAATACAAAAGTCTTCCCCAAGTTCTTTTCTAGAAGCAACCCTAAGAGTACGAAAATCTTTCCTCATTGATTTCAATATTTTCTTCAATGAGGCATGTGGATTTTCATTGGTTTCGTTGCTCACAGGCAAAAAGAACTCTAGCACGTAATCATCATTTTCAGTGCAACTGCTCTGCAAGCATATCGCGAAGCAATCACTTAATCCATACTTTCGTGCATGGTGTGCCAAGGGGTACTCAGTTAGGCTAAGTTGAGTTACATCCCTGCAGAATACCATATCAGTGGACGAAAGTGCTCTCCCAACAACCCCCACCCCATTCTTTAAGTGAAACATAGAATTGATATACTGAAAATCACGACATTTATCTTCATGTTTGTAGTAATAACAACTTACACCAAGGATGCCACCATCAACTAGAGGCCTACATGGCCAACCTACCTTGCATGGGACCCATGCCTGAGCTAAAGGTAAATCATAAACTTCGCATACCACTTTCAACACATTCTTGATTTCATCCAAGGCAAGTACGAGCTTCATTTTGAGCCTCATCCTAGTTTGAAAGTATTGTCACATCCAGGTATTAGTCAGAAAATATTCCTCACCATATTAATTTAAGAAAAATAAAAAACCAAATTTGCCATTGTATTATAGTTTGCCACTTACTAATTCCATGTCCTTGTGATCAAATCCAATTGGACATTTCAGACCTTTCATCTGCAGGGGAATGGAAAGATGTAACTGAGAAATCTCATAAACTTTGAAATGTAGAATAACATTTTGCCAATAGAAGGAAACATATAAAAAACTCTATAATGGAAAAAATTCAGTCCATCGGAATATCTATTATCATGTTTGGCTCGATAAAAAGGAAAGAATATACATTGGAAATTTGGAAATGAAACCACCATATTCTCCGATTTAGGAGAATGGACATTTTATTGGAAAGCCAAGAATTAGCCATTCTATTGAAGCCCACAATCATTCCAACCAACAAAACACTACCTTAGTGTAGTAATGTGATTCCAGTTTGGGAACCGAACTAGGAATTGCATTCTCATTTTAGAACACATCCAAACAACGAAATGAAAGAGACTTGACATAAGATTCTTATTATGCATCAATGAATTGTTCTTGCCATCCAAACATGAGTGTTTTAAAACACTTATGATCTAGAAAAATGAGAATGTGGTTTACTCTTTTGTGTGTTAACCCCTCCGAGCATAGTTAACAAACACATGACAAATTTAACAGTGTTTAACATATGCGTTAAAGAATTATTTTTCTCTTTGAACAGGAAAACCCCCACCAACTTATTACACAAATAAACACACCACACCACACCACTGTAGATGTTCGAAGAGAGAGAGTGTAATGAGTAATCAATATTAACAAGATATTGAAAATGCCAATTTGTGAGTGAGGGGGGACCTAAAGAGAATATGAATCTAATATTTCATTATATAACATATCTTCAACACAGGTATATTTATATACAACAAACTAATTGTAACTCTAGTTACTAGTTAACTAAGGTACAGTTAACTAAGGTATAGTTAACATAACAACTTCCTAACTAACTCACTATATGATTTGTGAGTGAGGGGGGACCAACCTCAAAATCTTCATATATTCCGTACCTAATAAGCCTTTCACAAATTGGAATTATAAGGTCGTCCTCTAGTGTCACTACTTCAATTACGCCAACACACCTTTGGGTAGAAGGTTCAAAGACTGGGAAAGCCAAAGATTCTCGGACTCCACAACGTAGAGCATCGTCACGCTGTGGATACTCTGTGACAGAGTAAAACTCCACATTAGGAGTGGATTCGGGGAATTGATGCTTGAACACTCGGCCAGGAAGAGAAAGGTGTTGTTCACAAGTCTTCCCCCCATCCAAATCAATGTCAAATTTAGAATCCATACAGATCATCCTATACCCACAAAGTCCGTCAACACCAAGTCCATTATAAAATGATGTTATTAGAGAGAAAGGTTGGTTTCGAGTTGTAAGAAAAGACCGGCCCTCATTTTTTGTTATGGGTGCCCAAAATTGAACTAGATTCGGACCATAAGGCCAACTGTCTGTAGTTCTGTAAAGCAAATCTCTGATGATCTTGTTTAAGTTGGAAATATCTGATAAAAACGAACAAATTTCAAGAGAGGATTGATTTCAAAACAAGGTAACATTATTGATTTAAATTGACTTGAAACGACTAAACTATAAAATAAATAAATAAATATTCAAATCTAAAAATAATAATCATAATAAATAAATAAATAAATAAAGAGAGATAGGAGTAACTCACCGCCGTCGGGGAGAGTAAAAGGACGTTGGGGTTCGTCGTCTTCTCGGCTCCAGAAAACCCCTCCATTGAAATATTTTGAGGGCAACCAGTTGAGTTCCTTGTACGTATATTCCTTGAAATCGTTAGGGAAATACGATAAAAATTTCTCTTCTGCGTCGGCCATTTTTCTGAGAAATCAATCGGGGATCTTCCAGACCCAGTTATGGTGTATAAACACAATTTTTGCAAATAACTAGGGTTCAAATTGGGTAGAAAAAGGGCTGCGTTCAAAGGGCTTTTTCCATCGACGAGTTCTCATTCACTCTCTACAAAAAATAAAAAAATAAAAAAATAACAAGTAATATTTTCTCAAGTCCCCATTTGTCAGATTATTATTTTTTATTTGTTTATTTTTTTAAGACAAATAAAAGTCAAAACCAAAAGGGAAAATTAGTGTAGGGTGTCTCTCCCACTTTTCGTAATGGAAGAGATTTACAAAATTATTTTTTTGATGTCTAAAGTCCCTAAACATATATCAGACAAATTTGACTCGTTGTCTCTCTAAACATATATAGCTCAGCTCTGTTTTCTCCAAATGTCTCAACTCTCTCTCTCTTCTCCCTCTCTCTCTCCTACATCAACCCCAAACCCTAGCTTCTTCTTTCATCCTCAAATTCATCAGAGATTGCTGTTGATCAATATTGAGGGACCAAGTCCTCGACATTCCGGCGACATCCACAAACAACGTACAGAACAATAGCTACATACCAAACATATTAACGGCTGTGATCATCTTATCATGGTACGTCTCCAACATAGGAGTTCTTTTACTCAACAAGTACCTTCTCAGCATCTACGGTTACAAGTACCTAATCTTCCTTACCATGCTCCACATGCTATCATGCGCCGTATATAGCTTCGCTGCCATTAATTGGCTTGAGATTGCTCATTTCCAGCAAATCTTATCTCATCACCAGTTCTTCAAAATCTTCGCTTTCTCCGCCATTTTCGGCTTCTTCGTCATCTCCGACAACATCTTTCTTCGCTACCTACCTGTCTCATTCAACCAAGCCATTAGCTCCACCACTTCTTTCTTCATTGCCATCTTCGCCTTCCTCATCACTTTCAAGAAAGAGTCCCCCCAGGTATTTCAATTCATAATTCAAAAGGCAAATTACACTGGTCACATTAAACTCTTCATTTAAACTATGATTGAATCAGCAGTAGCAGAACCAAAGACAAATTGATTAAATCAAAGTTTTATAGTTCCAGAGAAATTATGGACCAGAGAAATTTGAATTTTCTCTGGGTTGAACCCAGAGAAATTCATAGCATTAAGTTTAAAGAAAATCTATCACAAACTCATAGAAGAACTATTACTTTGTTTGTACAGGAAATTGTGATTGAATCAGCAGCAGCAGAACCAAAGACAAATTGATCAAATCAGAGTTTTATAGTTCCAGAGAAAATTTAGAATTTCTCTGGGTTCAACAACCTGGCTTGAACTGAAATTTCTCTTGGTTGATCCAGAGAAATTCTGTGGTTTGGATTGACCAAACAGATATGTATGGTCACTGAGATATGTATATAAACTCTTTTTGGCATAAATTCCAACTAAGAATGGAAAAGTAATGGCAAAACACAAACTCTGCAGCCTCAAATATGAAATTTTTGCACCCTAGAGTTTGATCTCAAATATCATGAACTAAACAAATAAATAACAAAAGGAAAAAATAAAACTTATTTCAAGTTGTTCCAATATGGGTCAAAAAAGATTAGTGCATTGTGTGCCAGATGACATCCTACAAACTGAAATGCATAAAAAGTCATGACACAGTTAACCTGGGTACTGTAGACAAAATTTAATGGACATGCAAGCAAGAACAATCGAAGAGAGAAAACAAGCAAGCATGAAACACACAGTGGGAAATTTCTCTGTGATGAATTTTCTCTAGATCAACTTGAGGGATCTTAGACATTATGAAAATATTGAGTGTCCTTTATGCTGTAAAATCTTAATACCAGGGACCTTAAAAAAAATTTCCCAAACCAAAAATTACATAAGGATATTTCGGAAAAATGGCTAAAATTTATTTTTCAGTTTTTAATTCAATTTGAATTATATCATCTCTCATAATTTTTATACATTTTTTTTAAAAAATTAAAAAATATCAAAAAATTAACTTTTAATCATTTTTCCAAAATAGTCCATAATTGTTTTGGGACGTTGGTTAAAAGTTGATTTTTTTTTTTTAAATGTATTAAAAATTAAAGAGTTAAAAATTAAAAATTAACTTTTAACCATGTTTCTAAAATAGATAAAAAGGACATCATTGAAATACTTACTAACTATTTGACCAGACCTCATAAAATTGAATTTGACATTTCGATTTTTATGGTGGTGCCCAAGCACAGTCAAGAACATAGCTACATTTTCCTCTAACACAACATATTTTGAATCTGACACACCCTTTGTTCTGATAAGCCCATACAACCACATAAAGGTATGCCTATTCATTCGTAGTTGTTCATGGTAATCTATGTCATTATTTCTGACTAACCTATTTAGGTGGTCAAGTTGTTGTTTGAAATGATTAGGATTTCTACTTATTTTTCTCGTAGCCTCAAATCTTTCCAGTGCAGCATGCAAAATGATAATATAAACTCCACAAGTATAATTCATGGATGATACAATATGTTACAGGGCAACATAGGCCTCAATAAGGTCTCTCCAACTATCAAATCATTTATTATTTGCCATCTATGAAAAGAAATAGTGCACAAGTAAATTAAATAACTAAAGCAATCAAATAGATAACTAAATCAATGCTAACTATTATTCACAGCAAGTCCATGTAAATTTGATAGAAAATAATCTCATCCACAAGAAGCATTCAATAAGAAGGATTATTAAGTTACATCAAAAATCAAACTTTTGACATAATTTTGTAGACAATTAGATAATGTAAAAAAATCAATCTGATTATAAAAATCTGATTATGTAAACTAACTTTCCCAACATATCAATCTTGGGAAAAATCTGATCATAAAAATCTAATTATTTGACAAAAATCAATCTTTAAACTACCTTTCCCAATATATAAAAATCTAATTATCTAAAAAAATCAAACTCTTCATATATTATTTATTATTTATTTATTTTTTTAATGTCAAGAGTTTGATTTAATCAAATCCCTAGATTTTTACATACAAAACAAACAAATTTTTATTGCTTGAATCAAAGCCCCCCCCCAAAAAAAAAAAACAATAAAACAGAGACAAATTTTTATTGCTTGAATCAAATGTGATTACAAAACAATCAAAGCCCAAAAAAAATAAAAAAAAAGAAACAAAATCTGTTTGATTAGAAACTTTTGGCCCTCTTGTCTAGATTGAACAAAAATAGTGGGTTTAGAAAGTTCCAAAAATTATAGAAAGTTTAGATTAAACAAAAAGTTTCAAAAATTAGTGGGTTTATAAAGTTTCAAGAAGGGCAAAAAAGTTTCAAGGTTCCAAATCAGTGGGTTTAGAAATCAGTTTAGATTTAGTTCCAAAAATCAATTTAGATTGAAACTTTCACAAGTTTCTGGCCCTCTTGTTTACGATTTTTGTTATCTCAATGGGTTTAGAAACTTTCTAGCCCTCTTGTCTATGATTAGAAAGTTTAGATTGAACAAAAATCAGTGGGTTTAGAATGTTCCAAATATCATAGACAAGAGGGTAAAAATCAGCCTCAAGAGGGTTTAGATTGAACAAAAATCAGTGGGTTTAGAAAGTTCCAAATATCATAGACAAGAGGGTAAAAATCAGCCTCCAGAGGGTTTAGATTGAACAAAAATAAATGGAAAGACCACAAATGGTTTACATAAAAATCGTACAAGAAAAACCCAAAACCAGAAAATCAAAAAAAAGAGAGCAAAGTAGAGGGAAACGATGATTATCACTGGAAAGAAGTCTTGCCAATGGAAATTAGTCACAAAATTGAGTAGATCTACACTTGCAAAACCAGAGTCTTTTTCTCTACTGGATGTATGAGCTGTATATGTTTTCTTGAGCCCTAGTTTATGTATGTAAGATAGACGAGGGTATATTAGACTTTTTAAGTCATATCCCAGACCAGGAGATATGATATAATGGGGGGTGGTGGTATTGTATATCCTCCAATTTTGGGAGATATACAATCCCATAGTATATTATATCCTCTTTAAAAGAAAATTACAAACATGAGATATGTGAACCCCACAAGATATAATATACAATCTCAACATTTATATCCTGAAACAGGGCCCAAAGGCTTAGCAAACACAAGCTGCACAAGAAAAGGAGGAATTTCCTCCATCCAAACAACAACCTCATCAAGATCAACGGCTATCCTTGCAAGACAATTAGCCACCAAATTACCTAAGAGCTTGACATGCTTCAGTAGTTGTTCATCAAAATGCCCAAGCAAATTTCTCATAGATCGATCAATATGCCCAAACCCAACATGACAAAAGTCATGCGAGCACACAACTCAGATTACTATGGATATAACTATTACAATTTGGCTTCTCCGTTTGGACTTTCTAGGTTTATTTTGAAATTAAATTCAGTGATTTAAATTATATATTGAGTAAAATATTTATATAAAAAAGCAAAATAATTGGATATTAATAGTTATATATTTGAATTATTTTTATTTTAAAAAAATAGACAATAAATATAATTTGAAGAATTTTTTGTAATATAAATTTGATTTAAACATATACGTATTGATATCTAATGATCTTAACTTTTTGAATAAATATTCTACTTAATAAGTCTTAAAAATGAGCAGTTTGAAATCAATTTTACAAAATTCAAACGCTCTCTCAAATTAAAATAATTATTAGTATGATAGTAACCTAGTTATTAAGTTGGACATATAAGATATATTGTTGTGTTTATTTGTGTAGTATTATAGTGATATTAGAGTGTATGTGCTTTTTAAAATGGGCATGTTCATTATTATAATTAGGGTAAATTATGTAAATGGTTCCTGTAATTTATCCGTTTTATAATTTTGGTCCCTGTTGTTTTAATTTGATCAATTTTACCATTGAATTTTACGGATTGTGTCATATTAGTCTAATAAATAACGACAGTTAAGTTTGATGGATGGAAAATTAAATGATGTGTCAATTTAGTTCTTATAGTTTATAAGATGTGTTAATTTGGTCCTTATAATTTATAAAAAAGTCAAAACAATAGGGACCAAATTGACACGTCATTTAATTTTCTATCTATCAAACTTAACCACCGTTATTTATTGGACTAATATGGCACAATTCATAAAATTTAAGGACAAAATTGATCAAAT